ATTCACTCTCTGTTTTTCCTGCGTGGCCTCCACTCTCTCTGGAGAAGACTCAGTGTCCATAAAGTTCGGAAAGGCATCGTGGAGTTGTCAAACCCTCTGTGCGATAGGTGTTATAGACCTTGGTGGAGCCAGTAGAAATACCTGGTAGACCCGGTGGTAAAAACTAGTGGGATGAGCTGCCCATCGCCCTCAGATTTGGATTTTGGCGGGCCACAAGACAGGCTATTTTCTTTGTGTGGGGTTTATTTGACTGGAGGCTGTGCTGCTTTTCCAAGATCCGCTGCAACAACTTCTCTATGGCCTCCTCAGACAGCGGTGACATGAGTCTGAGCAGGAGGAGGGGGGTTCACTGCTGCAGGGGCATGGTGACAACAGGCACTGTGAGGTCTTACTGCCTGCTGTGAGCTGATGTATTCCCCCAGACTTCGCATTGTCTGAGGCATCACTCCTCTCACTCGCACCAGAGTGAGGGCGTTCTCCCTCATCACTCTCCTCTGGAGCACCGCACTCCCTCATGGACGGGTCGGGTCCTGTTCTTCCTCGCCTCCTCCGAAGGGTCTGCAGCAGGATTCCACGTGGGCCCTTTGTGAAAAATCACAGTTGACGCGGCCAGGAAAGAATGAATAATGTCATCATATATTCCGTACAGGCCACCACAGTCATGTTGCGATTTTATTGACCATTTTTACTGATCTATCTTTCATTCGTGTGCACTGATTTTTGATGTTTTGTTTTACAGGTGATTTTATTGTTCATGTTGATAATGGTGATGTGACAGATAATGCAAAGGAGCTGGCTTCTGTACTTTGAGACCTTTGGTTTCATTCAGCACATGAGTGGCGCCACCCACAGCAGGGGCACTCTCTTGACTGGCTAATTACAAAGGGGGTTAATGTAACAATTGTTAATGTGTTGATGTTGCTTTGTCAGATCATTTCTGTGTATTTTTTACATGTGTTTTGCTTGCAAAACCACCAGCTGAATTTACAATTGCTAGAAGAAGACACATAACATGAAAAACACAGGTGAAACTGTTCATGGGATATGCTAAATTTTGAGAAAACTCCATTGCTTCTTACTGTTGATGAAATTGTATAACTCTGTCCCACCAGTTGTTCTGAATGTTCTGGACGCTCCATTGCTCCTGTGTCGGGTAAAATAGTTCCAGTAGAAAAGGCCCCATGGACTAAGGCAGACTCGGTCAGGGCACAGATGGCAAGGAGTGCGTGGGCCGAACGGAAGTGGCGAAAAGTACATTTCCAGGGCGATTATGAAATCTTTATAGTTGAGTTGGGTGAATTTAAAACCGGGTTCTACGAATGAACAAGAGAAATGTATTTTTCTGACATTATTGGAGGTTGCAGTAACACTTTTCGTGTTATGTTTTCAACAGTTGGTAGATTACGAACCCCCCTGTAAAGTGGCCCCTGAATTTTACTCTAAATCTAGTGTATGAGTTCGCACAGTTTTTCGTTGACAAAGGTACAAGGATATTCAAAAAACACTATCACCTCCCAGCACGTATAAAACAATGCAAAATGCCAGAGAAGCTTTTTGAGCTAACTCACTTTGCAACTGTGGATACTGAAACTGTCAAAAAGATAATCATGAGTCTGAGATCCCTCCCAAATGTAGCCTGGATATATTGACCTCTAATTTCTGAAGTCGTCCTGAGCAGTTTGTTACCTTAACTGACACAAATAGTAAAAAACATGTCTCTGTCGTCAGGAACATTTCCTATTGGCCCTTAAAAGCAGCCAGTCATAGACCTCTCCTAAAAAAGAGCAGTCGGATCCTGCGGGACTTCAAAATTATCGCCCTCCATATCGAATCTGCCATTCATTGGAATAATTCTTGAAAAGTGGCCTCCAACAACTTACTGAATTTTTAACAATGAATAATTATTCTGATATGTTACAGTCTGGGTTTAGACCCCACCACAGCAATGAGACCCGATCATAGTGAAGGTAACCCTAACGCATTTCGTCTTCACTACTGATGAGGTAAAGTCACTGTTTTGGTCATGTTAGTTCTTAGATGCGCGTTCGGACACTGTCGACCATGAGATCCTCATGCAGAGACTGGAGGTCTGGTGTTGGTGTCCACGTGTCACAGCCCTAGACTGGTTTTGGTCTTACATGGAGGATGGAAGTACTTTGTGGAGATTGAGACTGGCTCAGATCATGTGGGCCCTGACCTGTGGAGTACCACAGGGGTCGTTCCTGGGACCTCTCCTATTTAATCTCTTCAAGCTGCCGTTAGGTCAGTCTAATACAAAGAAACAAGTGTCCTTCCACAATTACGCCGACGACACTCAGATTATGTCTCACTGACTGCAGGTGAACATGGACCAATGGATTTGCTCCTTCACTGTATCCAACAGATCAGTGAGTGGATGCAAAAATAATTTCCTCCAGTCTAAATGCACGACAAAAACGAAATTCCATTGTCTTGGTCCCCCAGAAACAAGAGGGGCGTCATCTGTCCACTTCATGTCTCTCTCCTATTCTCCTTCAGACAAGGTCAGAAATTTGGGGGTAATATGGACTCAGAACCTAAATTTCAATAGCCACATAAAAATTCCAATAACAATCTACAGCTTTTTTTTTTTTTTTTTTTTCTACCATCTGGTTAGAACATTGCAAAGTCAGTATATAGTGTCAGGGAGACTTGGAGATTCTTGTCCACGCATTTGTTCTCCAGCACGCTAGACTACTGCAATGGCCTGGCTTACAGGTCTGTCCAAAAGACCTGTAAGCAGCTGACAGTACATCCAAATTGCTGCAGCTAGAGTCCTGACAGGTACCAGGAAGTATGACCTATTTTAGTCCGGTCCCTCAGGTCTCTGCACTGGCTTCCTGTGCTCCATAAGAATAGATTTTAACAGCTCTGCTTTGTGTACAAGTCTCTCCTGGCCTTGCACCAGATCATTAGTGGACATGTTGGTGTCTCTATGAACAAGCCCGGACTCTGAGGAGCACAGGGGACTGGCCTAATGCTGGTGCCAGAGTGAGAACCAAACATGGGTGAGGCTGCGTTTAAGATCTATGCAGCTAGATCTGGAACATCTCCCTGAAATGTGGAGGGAGGCGTCTACTCTGTCAATGTTCAAATCCAGGTTAAAGACTGTTCTGTTTGCTGTGCATACAAACTGAAGGATTTGTATCTCCATTGGTAATGCACTGACTGTCATTTATTTATTTATTTTTTAAATTTCTTGTGTAACTTTGAAAGTGATTATTGGTTTTATTCTTTTGTGTGATTTAGTGTTTTTATGGTGTTTTATCTTTGTGTGATTTTAATGTTTTTAATTGTGAATTCTGGTGTTTGTTTTATGTGCTTGATTTGTGATGTGGACTGGGAAGCGCTGTGCTGTTGCCCAGTGATGAAAGGCGCTCTACAAATAAACTTTGAATGATTGATTGATTCATATTGTCTGCAACAACAAAAAAGATCATAAAATATCTAGCTATAGCATGATAGAGAAGTATGTATAATGTATTATATCTTTTTGCATAATACTGAATAAAATAATTACATTTAGCATTATAAAGAAGCATGAATCCTGTATAATCTTTGAGAAGACATATACAGTTGTTTGTTTACCATCTGGGACTTTAGCATGCATGAGCGCTCTGGGAATACAGTAAGTACAGTTATAGAAGGAAAATATGAACTGGTAAAACACTAATACATTGTCGTAAAACGTAACTGCATATAATTCATTGCAATCAATGTGTTGATGAACTATAGTAATGTGAAATACATTTAGATAGTACACACACAACAATAATTTTATCTAATAATAATTAGCTAGCGCTGGAATACTATACAAACTGACGTAAACTAACTGAATTTACTGTATACAGAAGATTACAAAGTGATACAGATTGTTTGTAACAACGCAGAGAAGTGTTTTCTCTTACATATTGATCAAACAGAGAGTTCTTACCGAGCAGCAGCAAAATAACTTATGGGACCGGAGGTAAACAATCATAAACAGCGCTCACTTACCACCACTCGAGATTTTTAAACTACAGACGTGTGTGTACGATCTACGCACCAATATGAGAGATTGTATGGCGGATACATATTAAGAACGTCACAAAAACATGGTGGTTTATCAGAGGAGACTTACCGAGTTGCGTATGTAATCCAGAATGAATGGAGGAAGCGGCTCTCTTGTTTAAGAGCAGCGCCACAAAGTTTTCCCCATAGTTCTTGGAAGGGAGACCGCTGGGAATTGCCAGGTGATGTATGCTATTTTGCCCTGAGAGCTCGGCCTGGGGGGCGAGCTCAACAACTGGCGAGTTGTTGTCGTGTAGTTGAGTTGAGTTGAGTGCAGCTTGAGAGTAGAGCTGCAACTAACGATTATTTTGTAATCGATTAATCTATCGATTATTTTTACGATTAATCGAGTAATTGCTTGGCTGTGAATTGTGTAGAAAAAAAATATTTTTTCATCACAAAAAGCTAAAGTGTCAACACTATTGATGGCGTAAACTTAAAGTAAATGTTTGTAACAGGCTCTTTGTGCTAATTCTGCTATCTGATCGGATGAGACAGACCGATATTCATGAAATTATAAAAACAAAGTCGGTTTTAATCAAAAATACTACATTTTCATGTCATTTTTGCTCTGTTTGAAACCGTGTGAACCAGAAAACGATTAATCGATTACTAAAATAGTTGTCGACTATTTCAATAATCGATTAGTCGTCGATTAATCGATTAGTTGTTTCAGCCCTAGTTCAGAGCAATATTTTTCATGAATTATACTGCCGTTTGAGCCTGTACAGAGTCTGATATCTTTGTTTTTGTTTGTACTTGTCCTGTCTGTTTCCTGTCTATGATCCATCAGTGTTCAAAATAAAGCTTACTAATAATAATAATAATCAACTGTTGTTTTTCTTATACCAATGGAGCACGAGGCTCCTTTCCAGCCTTTGTAGCAATCACAGAGTCCACTTCCTGTCAGTCCATCAGCACATTTTCCGTGGTCACACTTGCACTCTGGAACACAACAGAGATCAGGGTAGTTAGTGAAGAAATATATATACACACACACACACACACACACATTCCTTGTTAAAAAAAAGTAGCTGGTTATTAAGGAAAGTCAACACAAAGGGAGACAAAGCTGATCTGCTGTTTGCCCCCTCACGTTTGGAGCAGTTGTTTCCATATCTGCCCGGTTCGCAGTCCTCGCAGGACGTCCCGTGGAAACCCTCAAAGCAGCGGCACTCCCCAGTCCCCTCATGGCCGTCCTGACACTGGCCGTGGTTTGAGCAGGGGCTGCCTACGTCTCCAGGACATTTATAACACTCACGGCCGTAGTAACCAGGGCAACATGAAAGGTCCTTAGACACACAGCATCATATCATGAGCATGAGTATACACAAACAGCACAAGACAGAAAACACATTTAATCACAAGCAGCAAACTTATCAACAGTGATGGAGAGTCCTGGTTCTAACCGGGCAGAGCTGAGACTGAGTGTTCTAAATGACAGTGATTGGTCAGAATACTGCTGGATTCTACGGTATTTTAATGGATACTATTTTCTTGTGGGTATGATACTAGGATATGATACTAGATTATAAAGTTTAATGGATACACAACAATTAGAGCCAGGTAGAGAAGTGTTGAATGTGTCCCTAAATGAGCCCATAACCTACCTCCGGGTGTGGGCGGAGCTACACAGCGGTGCATGCACGCCAAAGTCAACCTATGAACCTACTGTGCTCAGAAGATTGTATTGTATATTGTTAGTTTTACTGTATTACTTTTGTATTGTTCTTTTTGACGTTTTGGTTCCATATTGTCTTGGTGTCAAATGGGTGGGTACAACACCTTTTCAAAACTGTTTTGTTATTCTGTAATTTAGTTTTGAAATACACATCTTTATTGATTGTTTGGATCAGACAAACAATTTGGTTGCCTTACAATGGGCTTCAGTGACGGATTGGAGGAAAATACTGGAAAACACATTTCAAAAACATGAAAAAGGCGTTAACTTTATCATAAAATGAACATTGCCTTTATTTAATCCTCTGCGTCTCCCCATAGCTTCCAGCCCGTCAGTGCCCCCAGTGCGGACTCTGCAGCCGTGTTTTACAGTGTGAGTATGATATCAAACAAGTATGATATTATCAAACATGTATTACTTTGTGGCTGTAAAGTGCCAAACTGTCGCCTAGAATGAGTCTGGTGTGTGTGTGAATGGTTGGTGGTGGTCAGAGGGGCTGATGGCACAGACTGGTTGCCTCGTTTCTGTCAGTGTGCCCCAGGGCAGCTGTGGCTACAGAAGTAGTTTATCACCACCGTGTTTGGAGTGAAAGAATAATGACATCTGAAGTCATCCTGAAAAGCGCTGTATTAAACCAATGCATTATTATTATTAGTAGTACAAGAAAGTTCTGGAAAAATCCGAGCAATAATCAGACAGTGTTTGCCCAGCATTAGACTCTGGCGAGGAAACGCTTCCAATAGTTCCAGCTAATTGGGGCATTGTGCCTTTAAAACGAGGGTTACGTATGTAACCACGGTTCTATGAATCCCGGATGACCGCCAGAGGCCGGTGCATAGCACTGAATGTTCCCTTCGCACATGCGCAGTTCGAGTAATAATACCAAATGAGTCACACCTGTGACCCCCTGGGTGACACACCGGAGGTAATAAAGTCCAGCGTCATCCAGCACTCTGTTCCTGCAGATCTTCTTGCGGATGCAAGGACCCTGAGTGACAGAGCGCCTCTGGCGGTCATCCGGGATTCATAGAACCGCGGTTACATACGTAACCCTCGTTCTATTTCATCCCTTCAGACCGCCAGAGGGCGGTGCATAGCACTGAATGACCTTATACCAGCTATGTCACGAAGGATCATGACCACACACCTCACGGAGGAGAGCCAGAGGATTCCTGAAGGACCACGCCAAGAGGAGCCGGAGTGGCCACATTGATGTTGTAGAATCTGGTGAACGTGCTTGGTGTAGCCCAAGACGCAGCAGCACAAATAGTTCCCAACGGCACCCCGCGCATAGCGGCCCAGGAGGTAGAGACACCCCTGGCAGAATGGGCCCTCACCGTGGCTGGCGGGTCGCGGCCGGCCGAAACATACGCCTGACTGATAACGTCAACCACCCAGTGGGAAAGGCGTTGCTTCGAAAGTGGACTTCCCAGTCTAGCACCACCATAAGCAACAAAGAGCTGGTCTGAGCGCCTCCACCCGCCGTCGTAAGCAACGTTGGCCTCCAATGCCCTCACAGGACACAGCAGGTGCAGTCTGTCCTCACCCCCATCCAGGGGGGACACAAACCGCGCCAACCTCAAAGGCCGGTTACAATAGTCACGGGAAAGCACTTTAGGGAGGAAAGTGGGATTAGGCCACAAGACCACGCCAGCCTTCTCGGGATCCCAGTGTAGGCATGAGGGACTGACAGAAAGTGCATGCAACTCACCGACCCTTTTTGCAGAGACCACAGCCAACAGGAAAGCAGTCTTATAGGAGAGCCACTTGAGGTCCGTTCGGGCCAATGGCTCATACGGAGGGCGGCAGAGAGACTCTAACACCAAGGCCAGGTCCCAAACCGGAGACCGCGAGGGTGCAGCCTACGAGCTCCTCGTAAAAAGAGAGACACCAGGTCATGGCCCCCCACAGTACAGTTATCAACCTGGCCATGATAACATGAAATAGCAGCAACATATACCTTCAGAGTAGATGGGGCCCGACCTTCATCCAGGAGAGACTGAAGGAATTCCAGCACAACCGCCACCGGGCACGACACGGGATCCCGACCGCGGGAAGAACACCAGCGGGAGAACAACTTCCACCTGTTCTCATACAGCCGCCGAGTAGAGGCCGCCCTGGCATTCAGGAGTGTACGCCTGACAGGGCCAGTGACATCGAGTGCCCGCAGCTCGGGCCAGCCAACGGCCATACCCATAACTTGAGGCGGTGAGGACAGGGTTGCCACACCTGACCGTCCAGCTGTGAGAGCAGATCCCGCCTGGGAGGGAGAGGCCAGGGGGGAGCCAAACAAAGTCTGAGTAGCAGTGGAAACCAGGGCCGTGCAGGCCAAAACGGAGCCACCAGTAATAAACTGTGCCCCGCCCGAAGGACCCTCTGGAGGGTTGGCCAGATCAGAGGAAAAGGGGGGAAGGCGTACAGGAGGGCCTGAGGCCAACTGTGCGCCAGGGCATCCTGGCCGAGAGAGCCCGGAGCCCCGTCCAGGGAAAAAAACTGAGGGCAATGAGTGGAGGCCACCGAAGCGAATAGGTCCACCTGTGCCAGACCAAAAAGGCCCCACACCCTCTGGACCACACTGGGGTGGAGACACCATTCCCCCGGGGCAGGCCTCCCGCGAGACAGGGAGTCCGCCACTCGATTGCAGTCCCCTGGCAGATACGCTGCACGCAGTGTAGACAGGCGAGGCGCAGCCCAAACCAGCAGAGCCTGAGACACCTCGAGGAGCCAAGCCGATCGGACACCCCCTTGATGGTTGACGTGATACACGACCAAGGTGTTGTCCGAACGAATGAGGACATGTTTCCCCAGCAACTCAACAATCCACTATTTTACAGGAAATTGGAGAGCAACCCCACCCCAGCTTTTAAGGCTAGGATAAAAATGAAGATCGACCAACTACTAGAGAGTACAGAGATCACGAAACATGAACACAACTTCATGAATACAGAACATCCAGTTACTCCTGTGTTGTACATATTGCCTAAGATACATAAGGAATATACTGACATGCCCCCGGGTTGACCTATTGTGTCCTCAATTGGCTCCCTCACAGAGAAAATATCTGCCTATGTGGATTTCTTCCTGCAACCATTAGTGACAGCACTCCCGTCATATGTTAAAGACTCGATGGATTTTTTGAAACTGTTGAACTCCATTGAAATTCAGAATGAATGTTTCTTGGTTACCATGGACATCGAGTCACTCTACACTAATGTTCCACTCACAGGAGGCCTGCATGCTAATGCATTCTTTTTGGATCAGCGCTCCAACCATACACCAAGCACCAATACCATAATGGACCTGCTAGAAATTGTACTGACCTCTAACTTCTTCTTATTTGAATCTTCTTATTATCTCCAGATCTCGGGAACAAGCATGGGCTCCAAAATGGCCCCCAGCTATGCATCACTCTTTGTGGGCTACTTCGAACACGAGATGGTCTTCAACGAAAGTCGCAACCCTCACCTAGGAAACATCCATCACTGGCGCCGGTACATCGATGACATTTTTTTTCTCTGGAAAGGAACTGAATCTGAACTTAAAGAATTTCATACACTTATCAATACAAATGAGTGTCAATTGAAATTCACTATGGAGTACAGCATTGAAAAGATGAACTTCCTTGACATTTTGATATACAGAGATGCCGATAAACTAAGATCAAATCTCTACAGAAAAAGCACTGACAGAAACTCTATCTTACATGGAAAGTCGTTCCATCCAGTACCATTAAAAAAGAGCCTGCCCATTTCACAGTTCAATCGCATCAGACGCATTTGCAGCACAGACTCAGACTATCAACATCAAGCCAAAGAAATGGAGCAACGTTTCAGACAAAGACAATACAGAGAGGACTGGATTTCAACTGCGCGCAGCAGATTTGATGGCATTTCACAGGAACACTGCTTGGAGAACAAAAAGACCAATAAATCATTGCCACAAATCAATTGCGTTATACAATACTCGCCTTTAAGTAAGGACATGGAGCGTATTATAAAAAAACATTGGCACCTGATTCAAACCGATCCAAATCTGAAGAGTTTGTCTGGCCCTCCACGCATTGTTCTCAAGAGACCACCGAACCTAAAAAACATGCTGGTCAGAGCCGACCCACCGTCATGTTCTCAGTCCCACTTTCTACAGGAGATCCCACATGGGAATTACAGGTGTGGACACTGCAGTCAATGCAACTTCACTCAAAAAACCAAAACGTTCAACCACCCGAGAACTGGGAAGAGATTCAAAGTGAACGGTATAATCAGTTGCAATACCAAAAACGTCATATACATGTTAAAATGCCCATGTGGACTTGCATACATTGGGAAAACCACGAGAGAGTTAAAAACCAGGATTGCTGAACATCGATCAAACATTCGCAACAACAATCCAAAGAGTCCGGTGGCGTTGCATTTCACACAATTTCAGCATAATGTGAGTTCAATGAGATACCTGGGCATTGAACAAGTAAATACACCAAGAAGAGGTGGAGATATAGACACTGCTCTACTGAGAAGGGAATCATTCTGGATTTATACCCTTGAGACTCTGAATCCGAAAGGAATGAATGAGGATTTCGATTTAAGACCCTTTCTTTGATCACATCTCGCAGCC